ATAACACAATAGAATAACAGCTGGCTTCCCATCTCTTACCTCGTTCTCATTTATTTCTTGCAAAGCCAAGGTCTTGAACTAGCGGCTTTGAGCATGATCTACCAGAGACACTCAGTACACAAACTGCAAAATGACTCGGAGTCCAAAGCGCAGCAACCAGGTCAACGACCGATGGAGGCAGATTTAATCGGTTTTCGAAGTTCGGTGACTGCCCGAGAAACTTTTGCCACTATTCCAGTAGGCTCCATTGCTTCAGGGTCTGGGTTGCCAGACTCAGTGAACATGTTACTAACCAAAGACTCCGCTCGGCTTGGCACTATTTTCCACTACGATGATATATGGTTCCATTCCTCATACGGGCACTTGCAACCAAGAGATGTTCATAAAACATAAGACAAAGTGGAAAATCGAGCTTTATTAGTACTATCAACTTTATCATGCCTTGGGGGGTCAAATTCCTGGTTGTGCTCCATACAATGTACCCTCTTCCAAATCTCTCTTCAGATAGGATTTATTGGTAATTTTTTTGAAAAAGATGCGCGTTGCCGGTGGTCCTAAATGAAGCTCACCGAATGAGTGCGGTCATTTCGGTCGCTTGCTCCTCCCGTTAACTGTTACTAGAGAGCATTTCGGCCGCTAGGGTAACGTATACGGCTGCTGGTTTGTTCTGTGAGCTAGATAATCTGTTCTCAAACCTTTCCCCGCCAGTCGAGAAGACATCATCAATGCACTTTTGTGGAGCGGATTGGAGGGTACTGGAAGTATTAGTACTTCATCAACAGGTCCCAGATTCTGCAAAATTACTCAGCTTATTGTCAAAAGCTAGATGTTCTAAAAACACTTGTGATTTTATATCCAATACGGTAAATGTTTTCGAGAAATACACTCATTTTCAAATCAATTTGGTTTTCACGAGCGACTCAACTGAATCTCTCGTTTACGATATTCTATAATTGAATATGCTGCACACAGGCCGCCTCATGATTCAGTTGGCACGATATTCGAGATATCGTAGTATATTTTCATGAAGGAAACTACCAACAAGGTCGACAGCCCACGACCGGTTTCGCCCTTCTTGGGGCTCATCAGGTAGGCGTAATTTCCTTTATGGAAATATACTGCGATATCTCGAATATCGTGTCAACTGAATCATGAGGCGGCCTGTGTGCAGCATATTCAATTATAGAATATCGTAAACGAGAGATTCAGTTGAGTCGCTCGTGAAAACCAAATTGATTTGAAAATGAGTGTATTTCTCGAAAACATTTACCGTATTGGATATAAAATCACAAGTGTTTTTAGAACATCTAGCTTTTGACAAATGTTGTTTAGTGTTGTTTATACGCCTCTTGTTTCCGAAATTCTCATCGGTTGAAGTGACGTCAACTTTCAACTCCATAAGTGAACAACCGGCAAATTAATCTGGGGGCTATATTCAAATCTGGAATGTTCCCAGATTTCCCAGATTTCCTACTTCATACCACTCTGGTTCAAAAAATTCAACTCATATCTTTCTGAGGTTATTCTGAGGGTGGAAGCACTGGTTCCTCTTTTGTTTTAGTTTATCAGTAGATCATGTCCTTGATGTCCGTCCACTCGACACATAAAACAAGCGTGTAACCACCATTCTATCGGGACGAATAAGAAAAACGTCCATTCGGAAGGGCGTTTTTATGTATTTTTCCGAGACGTTCTGTCTGAGATTTTCCTGACTTGTTGGTAGATGCATACGGTCATCACACTATCGTTCTCTCCTAAGCATTTGTCTATTCGTATTCAACTTCTGCGTTTAGAGAAAAGAGTTAGCACTGGGCTCATATAATTATCGGAGTTCAATCGCCTGTTTGACAGTGTTGATGACCTCAAAAAAGACTTAAGTAGTTTGTCCTCTCATTTTGGCTTACGGGATTACTCAAGGTGAAGGGGAAACTGTGAGAGTGATGTGGATATTAATCCCTGAATTCCCACGTTCACCCAAAATTTGCTATTGAACGGAATGAGGAAGATGAAACCAGTCTTCAAATTTAGAGCCTAAATAAATCCTCTGCAGACTAAGCTGCAGAAAGTGCTCATAATGGAAAACACACTCTTGTTCATAAGGGAGTTGGTTAAATAACAGATAGCTAATGGATGTTTAATATTGCTCTTAGACGAAAAATAAGTGTGCAACCATGCACATGGCGATTTCACTCAGATCGATCGAACACGAATCCTCCCCGCGAAATTCTATATTCCACATCTGAAATCCCCACTACGACTCAATCGCGAACAAAAAAGCCTTTTTTATCGCAGTCACTAGAGTTAAATCTAAAAACGCCCTGGCCTTCTCAATTCAGGCTGTGTATTGCATGGACTGTTTTCCTAAAGTGAGCCAATGATCTTAGCCTCACTCATGACGGTTAGGTTCTATCCAACAACCTTCCAGCTCATATGATGTGTTCGGGGAATTATGTGGTACAGTTACACATCTCGTGGAGTGCAACTTACGTGTGTGCCATAAAGTATGTCACTACAATCGTTTTTGACATCAAATTACAAACCTCGCCAAATGCAACTTGTCCAAAAACGATGGTTTATCTAACTACCCCGAAAACGTTGCATTCGGCTGTCTACGCGCGTCTACCCATATTCCTTCATTTATCGATTGGTCAGTGCAGTTGGATAGTCGCGCGCACTCTGCGTGTGCTTCAAGCTGATTGGCGAAAGATCCACCAAGTGAATTTGCACATATTTCACGTCAGATGACCTCATTCGGATGGCGTCAAAAACATGTGCACTTCTGGAGAGCATAACCAGATTGGTGTTCATGGTGCTGTCTTATCGATGGCAGTGTGGTTCCGGTGATTGCTATAGGAACGTCAGACTTTTCATTTATTGCATTTGTCGTACATTCTCCAGCATTTCGACAATGAACAAAAACGCTCTACCCTTCTCTACCCTCTGAACCATGTAATAATAGCACTGAACTAACACCTAGTGCGGGTACTCCTTTAGTCTCCAACTGACTCGTTGAATTGGAGCGTTCTGTTGCTATCATTTGTGCACCAGGCGGTTTGACTGACTGGTTTGTGAGTGGTGAGGATAATGCTGATGAACATATTTGGGAATCTCGCGGTTAAATGGTTGCCACTGAATTGCACAACTTCACGAACATTTTATCAGCTATACGTGCAACACGAACTCACACGTTTGACTCACCAGCAAACATTTTTCTCCGATCTGTTGCATTCATTCCCATAAATTTCAGACTATGGACAACAAGCAGTTCTCATTTTACCGGTTGCTAGCATGTGTGCGGTAATTTTAAGTGTCAAGCAGCGTTTTTGTGCTAAATATGATCTACAAACACCACGGTCGCTGAGCGTTATTTTGCTAGTGGGTTTGACTGAGGGCGGTGCGAATAATTTTGATACATGAGAGCTTGAACCAACCATTCTGACCTAGTTACTTGGCTTTACGGGGACGAATAAGGTTAACATTGATACAATGAAACCAAAGATGCGACCCAAAACAGGTGAGTACAGATGGCTTAGTTGACCATTTTCCCATGATGGGCTCTGTCTACAGGGCAGTTTTATGCTGTGTGATAGCCAGAAAGCTGCATCACCTAGTGCGCATCGCTCGTGAGTTCATGCTTAGATGATTTAGTCTAATTGTATGTGGGTTAAATTTCGAATATCTGTGGCGGGTTAACAATAGGTTCTCTCTCACTTTGTTACTCTTGTGTTCGGCAATGACGCACTAGTCTCGTGGCTTCCGAGGAATGCTCTTTCGAGGTACACAGATGTAACATAATTGTCCAATGGACAAGTAGATAGATAGACGCAAGCCAACATGCACGGTAATGACCAAACAGATTTTCGACAAAAGGTGCAAAAATTTAACAATATCTCTGGTAGTTGTCCCCGTGTGCGAGGCCATAAGTGCCTCTTTGTACAGGCATCTAAAAAGAGCCATGGTCACCCTTAGCAAAAACCCATCTAACGAATGCCATCACTAAACTGGTACGATATAAGAAATAGAAAAATCTGGCACACCCTTACATGGAAGGTCCAGACTATGGGACGTCTGACAACCAAAATCATTCCTAAAGAAAACCACTTGGAAAATGAGAGATTTTGAATGAATAATTTGATACGACCCACTCTTTATTCTCAGAAAACACTTTTACAAAGTTTATTCGGCCCAATCAGGATAGCAACTCAGTTGTAATGTTGCATAGTTACGGTTTCGTAATATTTGTTGAAGGCAAGTATCACATGTCTGGACAAAATCACTACCAAAGTGGACACGTTGTGTGGTTCACGATGAATAGTACACGCAAAAACTTGCACTTCTGAACACAATACACCTTTGCACCCTATTCTCGCATGTGTCACCTCCTTAATCTCAAACTCCAGTGTTCTAAAAAAATGCTTTAAATACTACATTTCAAATTGGTCTACGCTTTAGCTGTCATTTTCTCAGACGCTATAAAGAACTCAGGATTCGTATCCGTTGCTGATTCTCCCAATAATTTCAATACACTTTTCACATTAATCGTGATGGTGCGATCAGTGAATCGATGTGCGCACAGATACAGGCAAGATGATGAGCTAAGACATTGCATCCTCATCATCCTCATCATCATCACCGACAGCATGAAATCTGTGTTCAGTGTTCAACACAGATGCTTCACTACCGATCAACGTTTCACAACCACAGATATCGGACGGCTCTTCCTCGCCGGGTTAGAGGGCACGCAAGTATGCACATACGGAAGCCCACACGTTTGGGCGCATTTAATCAGGGCAAATTTGTGTAACACCTCGGGTATTCAGATTATACCCTGGACAACAAGTTTCTCAGAAGTTCCCTGTTTTGCTTTTCAAGTGAGTAAACACTCAATAAATGACTGAAAAGCAGAGATAAGCGGTTGGTTTATGGACCTTTGGTAGGTGTAAGGCCACGCACCAAAACGTGTGACTTGATAGCCTACTTAAAATCGGATTGCCACTTACCCCATACAAACGTTCCAACATGGCAATTGCTCGATCCAGGTAGGAAGCATCTTCTGCGAGTGGTTCTTTGAACTGAAGAAAACGGTTGGATTTGTTATTCGTATACCTTCGTGTTAGAAACTGTTCTTATAGTGCCTCACCTTTGTAAGTTGCAAATACACCTCTAAGAGCAATATTCATAAGTTGAATGATTAAACTGGGATTCGAAGTCCGAATATCGGAGGAGACATAGCATCTACTAGTGTATAGACGTGTCATACTACTCATAAGGTTGCTGAGCACTTTTCTACAACCAACGACCGGTTTCGTCTTCCGTGGTGCTCATCAGGTAGCACAGTCTTGGTGCAGCTGACTTAGTGAGAGGAGAGAGATTCAGCTCGCTTCCTGTTTAGTCCCCCGTCAATTGGCATGCAGATGAGTGTATAAGTCCACTGTTGCATTTCAGACTGACCTTTGCACTCTATCAATTCCACTTGCATCCAGAATTAGATTTTCTAAATTACCAAAGCAGATGTAAAAATAACCGAGTCAGACTTGTTTGAAGTAATAAACCAAGCTAAATCGGCAAGGAGCGGGAGTTCGCACCGTTTAAACTTCAAAGTATACGCAAATCTGATCCTTTCATGTCTCTTTCTGACACTATATAGTGGTGTCTAGCGCAGTCGGGTTTTTGCTCCCACCCAGGATGACGATATTCATCTACTTAATTTGCTATCAAAGAAAGGGTTCGCATTTAACGGAAGTAAACGGATGACGACCCGAACAAATAAAACATGAAGTTTCATCCTTTGGGAGAGACGGTCTAAAGAATCCTACCAGGAGTGAATTTCTGATAATTATTGTGTCCAGTTGGTGAAGTACGGTTATATTTTATGAAGCCTGTTTATTCAGCTACTGAAGCTTAATTCGCAAGCAAGATCATAACAATCCATAAATGAACAACCAGACAAAGCTTGTGGAGTACACGAAAAAGTCTTCAGACTAGCGTTTGTGTGATTTTCCGTCCCAGGCTGATCACTACCAGCCTGTGAGCCCATATTTACTATTCCGTCTGTCTGGGTGATCTAAATTTACACCTTGATACATCACGCCTTTCCGTCAGCTGATTGTTAGCTCGTTTTGAACACAGTCAGGTGTGCTGCAACACTGCAGTTGACTCACTGGCCCACATGACTATCCGGGGTTCAAATTCCGGCACGGCCATTGGATATGCACTGATGATGAGCTCTAATAAGAGCGAAACTCGAGTCCAGTGCTCCCCTGTTTGGTGTGGACTCACCGGAATAATTACGCCAGAACAGGAGGACGGCCGCTCGAACGAGAGTGGTGTAACTACGATCAAAATACCTATCCCGCAAAACCCCAAAATTGCAACCAAATAGTTGCCCAGTGGGTTTCAAGCGTGTGTCACGCTACCCGACCGGGAAGTCCTGACTGGCGGGTTAATCGATCGTCACAACCAGGACAGTTACTGGGTCGTCGTTCGATGGGTCGGACTATCAGAACGTCCGACATTCCGACCGAAGCGATTGATCAATCTGGGTTTGCAAAAAGCGTTAGGTGCCAGTGGCCCCAACATATGAGCTTCAACATGTCAAGATTACGGATCCGAACAGTCCATCATGGGTCTTAGATGTTACGTGCTTGTCAGGAGTCCGATGATCATCACTGACGACCACACGAGTGCACTACTTCCATACAACACTGCCAACTGGTCTGAGGAAACCCATGAGCGTGTGAAGAAGGGTGAATTTCGACAGTGAGAGAGCTCAGCCTGCTAAGGGAATTCGGATTACCTACATCGACAGTAGAATTGAATAGACAGATTGCATGCTACCAGTGTGGGTGGGGAAGCTGAAAAATCTACAGAATATATCTGAACAACTCACTGTGCTGACTTTCTGTCCAAGCAGATATTTACAAAGGTAGTAGAGATTCTTGGTATCTCTGAATATGTCCAGAACATCTGTAACCTCCCGAGCGTTGGCCTGTGAATAAAAGATAACAAGGACATGCCAATAAGTAAGCGGAAGATAACGTGTGCAAGCAAAGGATACTTGAAATAGAGGGCCGCAGCAAATCCACATACTGTGCTCAGTAATACTGGAACTTGGAGTTATTTATCTTGGATTAAGCAAGCCATGTATCGGCCATTGTGTACAAGCTTCTCTAGATTGTTCCACCGTCTATTGGTCAGGTTATTGGCAAACGACTTGTTAGCTTTTTCCGGGGTTGTGTCTTGCATAACATTCAGCTTTGGTGCCCTTATTTTTAAGCCGTAAATGAAGTAACGAAATCAAGTGTTGGTTTGCTCTTATTCACCCTGACGTCCTGCAAGGTTATGATCATTCGCTAGTGGCCGAATAGTTTATTAACTTCAACCACTAACCAGTTCAAATCTTCCAGGAAATAAGCGGTACTTGAGGTGCACACTATTGATGATTCCTAGTAGGGATGAAACAACTTCACGATACTTTTGGTCTTGTAGAGATTTATTAACTTCAACCCAAAGACGAAATTTCTTTAGACAGGCCAAATTTGAAATTATCGTACTCGTTTGTTCACCCAACAACATATTCCCAGTTTCCAACAAATTAATTTCACATGAATAGGCATCAGGGAGTTCAAATTCAGCCTTTATCAGGCGTGATTAGCCATAATTAGGAAGTAAACAGTTTAACCCAACTAGTCGTTTTCATTTGCGGTTATAGAATAACTCTTTTCCTCTGTTGCAGGATGCTATAGGAGTAATGCTCGTCATGGAGATGATAAAATAAGTACGTGATGTTCTTCACTGAAGTGTCATCACTTGACAGTCGGAGAAAACTTGTCTGTACCAAATTTTTTGCTAATTTCTACAAGCACGGATTTGAAAGTGATTGGTACCCTGGCTGAAGTGATGACCTTCTGCTATTTCCTTAGGCACTTGATCGATAATTCTGTTGTAATAGGCTAAGAAAGACCATCTTTTTACGAGTAACCTGTCCGAAAAAAGTGTCGGTGTGAAGCTTGGTTGTCACTGCAACAGTCATGGTTTACCTGACAACCTGGAGGTAATTTGCATACTGTCGCCAAAGACAAATTTCTATGGCAAGCTATACGGAGATCATTACAGTGAGAGCAAATCGCCTTGACAGAAGTCGCTGTCGTCAGTCATGATTTAATATGAAATCCATTAGACGTCAGTTGTCCCTGTGAAGGCTTAAGACCACTTTTCCAAGTGACATCCATTCATCGAGAGATCACTGTACAACGCGACGAAAGGATTTCTTGGCACTGAAAAGTGAGACCAAGTAGACAACTTCAGCTTGATTGCTTAATGCTTAGGATGGGTAAGTAAAATGGAACTGATTCATTTTCCTCCAGAGACTAATGGGTGAAGAGTGACGATTAAAGGTCACCTATGGATAGGTTCTTTTTTAGGGGATCACGTCCTAGAGTGTGGCTGACGAAGGGATCTCTTCTGATCTCCTTTCTGGTCTTTTTCAGGAAAATCCCTCATTTTTGGATAATTGTATTTCCTCAGATAACAGGTTGCAGATGGTTTTTACCACGTAAAAAGAGCATTGAGCTATCTAGCAAAGACATCATTTGGTTCTGGATGAAAGCCGAGCTCCTACTTGATAACTAATTCTGAATAAAAACCCATCGAAATTTTGAAAAGCAGCTGAAATTTTCTCCGCACTTGTTTCTCGAAAATTTTTTGTAGCTAACCATTCAAGATACTGCTTTTTCTTGACGAATATCCGAATTTAGATACGTCCTTGCCACACTAAGCGTCGGATTAAAAGTAGCAACAACACAGGAGCACTTCCTTTAATGAGAAAAGCACTCCGTAAGAAGCCTGTCCTCGCAGAACCGTCAAAATCATTTCCCTTGGAAAGAAAGCGGGCTAATATAGTTTGAATTTCTCTCTGTTCTAGCTCCCTAGTTCTGCAATCACATAAGTACATGTTGTGCGCACGCAAACCAAGACTTCACAAGCTGCGTGGAAATAGCGCACACTGGAATAGTAGAATGGGTACTTAGATACTGGGTAAATATGACGTGGACCGCATATCAATCACGCGTGAGCCACTTGTGCAGGACGCTCCACAGACGGGTACTGGTAATAAACAATCAGTGAGCCTAAGTGGTGGTTGGTTTCCAGTGGAATGTATTGTTGCATATTGTAGAAACTCTAGCAGGCAAAACACTGTCATTCTGACTTGACCAATCAGGTTGTCTTTTGTACTGAGGACCAACACTGCACGGAAGGAATGCTGAAAGGCTTTGCTGTTGAAAGTCGACTAATTCTATGTATCGTTTTTTTTGACATAGGGACAAAGACGTGCATTTTCGTCGCTCAACGATCGAAATGTACGAAAATGAATGACATTACTTTATGTTTAGACCAAATAAACTTTTTATTCTTTTAAGAGAACTGTGGTATTATTCAGTCCATCTAGATCATTCTGCGTTTACCCGGGCGTCGCAGACTCTGTTCTGAGATTTGGTTGAATGTAAACTCATATAATCCATTAAGGACGGCCACTCCGGTGATATTCCTCGAGAAACTATGAATTTTGTGTCTTTGATGGCCTTGCTCTGAGCAAAATTATCGGTTATATCGAAATTTTCTGACGTCAGTTCTTTTCAATGGTGCTCGCGGGTGTGCCCGATTTACACTTCCCCCGTGAAATCATGCGAACTTGGATGAGAAAGGTCATTAGTACGCTGGACCTCTACTGATGACCCTTTCAGAAGTTTGTGTTTCATTTCTCACCCTACAATCTCAGCTTGACGAAAATCAGAAGGACGCACCAAAAAGATGAAGCCATGTTTATGTTGAATTTGAAAACTGCAGTCCAAAGTAGAAAGACATGAATTGAATTCACAGTTGTGTTCACCTAGTTTCTTCGCACATACATTTACATATGCATATATACAAGTACACATACATATATATATACTCTTTTTCTTCTTACATATACTCAAGTTGTACAGCAAAAAATCACTCTTTTTATAGCAACCAAGGAAACCTAGTTTTCGAGAAATACGCTCATTTGTAAATCAGTTTGGTCTTCACGAAAGACTCAAGTGAATCTCCCGTTTACACTATTCTTCAGCTGAATGTGCTGCACAAAGGCCGCCTCATGTTTCAGTTGACACGAGATATCACAGTATATTTCCATAAACGGAACTACTCACAAGGTTTTTGAAGACTCTTCGAATCAAATTAATTGCTACATATATGCATTCAATTATACTCTGTGATTGAATCCTATGCAACCGCGCTAGATATCGATCACGGATCATTCATCAACACATGACGCGTATTTATGATACGTCATTGACTGGCAGACAGAATCAGCCCTCATAGCATTACATCATCCAAAAACTATAACAGACATATGGTATATCAGCATCTGTTACACTCTAAGAGTTCCAAGTATGCTGAAAAGCAGTTGTGTGCAAAATCGCTCAGGTGCACCCTTCATGACTATGTTTTTTAGCAAACATTCTAATCACTTGTGGTCTGTTCCTTAATGGACCAGCTGTTTGACGCCAAAACAACAACTCGTGGAATCAGTAAAAACGCAAGGGAGGAACTTGGGAAAAAGTAATAGCTGGTTACAAGGCAACCACACCAGAAGAACGACTAAATAGGTCGAATTTTAGGACGTAGTTCTTATGAGAATGGACAGATTAGTGCACCTAACTTTTAGCCGTTCATGAGTACTGGCGACTTACATTTCCAGAAACCAATTGTGTTATCGGTTTCGTACAGCTTACGCTCTGTAATAATTTTACTTTATCAGAGATATCTGCTTTGTGGGTGCTAGCATATGATTAGATTTGGCTGTCATACGTGGAAATATGGAGAGCAAGATATTATATTATGACTTCTTTGATTTAGTCAAGGTGGATTTGCCATACTGCAGTTGTAACCATCAATGAGACCTTGCTGATTCTTTTGCACTTTACTTCTCGGCACCTGAGGACTAAACTTACATCAATTTATAGTGAACAGACCAGGTTTATCATCGATGAGCCAACCCCTTTCTCTTAGGTGAGGGGCAGCGTTTCATGGTCTACGGATTTTCACAAAGACTGAACAATAGACATCATAAAACACAAGATTCAAGATAATGTCACCTCATCAGGGGCGTGGCAAACTGGTGGCGATTTGTGGGCTGTACCCACTGTGTCTCGGACCCCGTGCCAAACCTTGTATTTCGACAGCAAAGAAGATAATGTAGTTTTCAAAACCCTTTACAGAAGGCACTAAAATAGGAACGATCACCCATAGCAGCTGAACTCACAAGACCGAGATGAAAACAGGCTGCACTGTAGAAAGACCAGCTCTCCGATACATCTCCGTCTCCTTTCTATCTCTTTCTCATCACGATCACTTGGTGTCGCTGCTCTGAGGTTGAACAAATTTTGGGAATCAGGTCACATTTATGCCCGCACACCTGGAGGTACTTTTTTGTAGGATTCTTGTTACAGTTAATCAAACTGTGACACTAAAAAATAAGAGACGTATTTTGTCTCTCTCTCTCTCCTAGTGCCAGTTCGACTGTCCATCCACAGTAGTGACATCGCAGCATGCGTTTGGACGTATCTAGATTCCAATTCGCTCGTTATAAACACAACAGATGTGATTTTCAGAAAGCAAACATTAAGAATTCAGTACAAAGGCCCTTGCTGATGTTGATCTAGGTTGTGATATCATTAGTAACAAAGCCTCAAAAAGTGGGGAATTGTGAAATTAAGTTGTCTCACGATTGCAAACAACCTTATGAAATCGAAATGCGTTTCTTCCAAATGTTGTTTATCCCGGAGGATAAAAACATCACAAGGATAGATGCGAATAGCATTTCACCTTCTGCCAGCGGTCAAGTGTATTGACAAATTTCAACGCTATACGACCATTGGGAACACAAAGATCATCAGATATTCTGTCGAATACTCCGTTATTACCAAGGTAGTCCGCGTACGAACG